CAACAACAACCACCAAACCTAACAAACACGAAACAATACTAGAAAGTGTTAACAGCGGGCTCAGGACCTAGGCTCAAGTTTTCCCTTTGGACAGAGAAAGATCGGCAGCCAGTTATTAAACACTGCATTTGCAGACCAGTAAACAACAACGACACTTCAAGAACTACTGTTGTTAATGGGCCAGTGTCTGGGGCAACACTTCTCCACAAGCATCTTTACAGACTGGGCACATCTTTTCATTCTATGATGTAGGTCACTGATCAACAGTTAGTTAGGTATGAGAGAACTGAAAGTGTCTTTTACAGTTTGTTTTCCTATGGAATCTTATTTCCAAAATTGCTTTCCTACTGTTTTAATTAGCAAGATAAAATTTTCAGGTGCTGAAATTAAAAAAAAAAAAAAGTTATATTTAGTAAGACAGGCCCACAGTTAAAACAGAAGGAAAGGAGGAAAAAATTAGTTTATTCCCAGATTTCACTCATCTGAAAGCTGTGGTTGGAAATCACCTGAGAAATAAATCATGCATCATTTTAATGGGTTCAAGTCCAAATGACTGCAAGGCTGCTAGTTTCTCTTCCATGCCCACGGACCGGCAGGGCGGCTGATTATCCGGCATCACAGGCATGGCCAGGCCCTGAGCCCAGCGAGATGCTGCGCCACAAAGAGCCGCAGGCATGGAGGGAGGAGGAGGAGGAGTCACCGTCATGGCTCAGATGACCCAGAGGTTCAGGTGGGAGGCTTAAATCGGGGAGACTCGCGGCCATCGCGACCTCGGCATTGTGGTCACCGTCCTTTCAATCACCTTCTGAACCACAAATAGAACCTGGGGGAGACCGAGAGAAGGTAGATCAGACCGCTTGCTCCGCAGGCGGCACTTTCGACAATAACTCCTTAATTTAATGCTCAGGCTTTAGCTTTGAATTACTCGAAACTGTGTGATCTCAAATACATAAAAATTAATTCCTAGAGCTTTTCCTTGGCTGGATTGCATATTGTTAAAAATTATTCCTCAAAATAACCCTCTGCTTTAAGTAATGACATGTATCAAGGAATCGGTCACCCACTGGGCAATAGGCAATGGCATATACCACTGAAAAAATTGCTTTGGGGGAGGGGAAAGTAAGTTCTAATTCATGAGCAGCACAGCTCCACTGGGGTTTTATTTATTTATTTTTTTATTAACTTAAAATTTTGTTTCCTATCAAAATGCAGCGCGTCCTTCCTCAGGTTGCTGCGGGAGCAGAAGGAGCAGACTGGATTAAGAAGGGATCCCTGGATTAAGAGGTGTGCTGATAAGGGCTAACTACTGGCTCTGGGAAAAACTCCGATTTGTGGCAATTTTCTGGGTTTTGTGCGGTGAATATCGTCACCGTGTCTGATCTGGGACCAGTGTGAGGTCAATTACCGCCAGGGCAGCAAAGCGCCTTGGGGAGCCAGGACCACGCTCCGTGCGGTGCTGGGTGCTGCGCCCGTTCCGGTTCTCGCACCCGCTGCAGGTGGATTGGGGCACGTCACTGAGGTGATGATGGTTGGGTTGGAGCTGCCTTTGCATTTAATTGGTGCACCTTGGTTTGCCAAGTAATTGAGAGAATTCTTGAGGGCCACCATTTTGGGGAGATGCTGAATTGCTAGCGGCTCCACCTTTTCCCATTTCAGTTTTGTGGGGCAAGGAAGGCCTGCTTTTACAAGGAAGGCCTGCTTTTACAAGGAAGGCCTGCTTTTACAAGGAAGGCCTGCTTTTACAAGGAAGGCCTGCTTTTACAAGGAAGGCCTGGAATTCCAGCACTCAGGAGACCAAAAAGGGAGATCACCGCCAGTTAGAGGCCAGACTGGACTTCCTAGTGAGATTCTGTCTCAAAATACAAACCAAACTGGCAAAAGTAAACACACACACACACACACACACACACACACACACACACACACACACACGGTAGGGTAGGGAGGAAGGCAGAGAGAGACAGAGAAACAGACACACAGAGAGAAAGAGATTGAGTCCCCAACCAAGCAGGGCAGTCCTAATTTCAGATTTAGGATTCTGTACAAGATACTGTTTGAAGACAAAGGCCTAGTACCGTGGCAAAGATAACATTAGAAACCATCTGAATGCCTGAATTTATCTGTTCATTTTCATTTATAAAAATCTGACGATGCTTGAAACTGTAAATGTGGATCAAAAACACCAATGTACCAGTCTATGGAGAGTATTGAACTTACAGTACTTTCTCATTCTTGATTAAATACTAATCCTGGCTAAAAGAGACAAGTATGTCTAAATGAGGTTGTATCCATGTAACCACAGATCTTTTTAAAATGAGAAGGACCAGAGATATGTTTTTTTCCCAAGGATTTTCAGATAAGCTAAGCAATTTCATTAGAACTCCCTTAGAAGGTGTGGGGAGTCAGGGAAAGGGGAGGGGAGGGGGAAGAGAAAGGAGGGGA